CATCCGTATAATAAAATTAACTGCCAGAAACATGAAGGGAAAACAAAATAAAACGTAAAACCCAAGCCAGTTTTTAAAATTTATTGATTGATTTACTTATCTATTTTGGTGGTGCTGAGGGTTGAACCCAGGGCCTCACTCATGCTAGGCAAGCTCTCTACCACTGAGTTACATCCTCAGCCCCCAGAACTTTGTACTGACACACTCAAAAGTATGACTTGATGCTGATAACGAAGTGTCAACTAGACACTCGTGTTCTGCTTTGGTCCTCATGTGGTGGCATCAGGGCCCCACCGTGAACAGCACACACAAGGAGCACCATCATCATTTACCCAACAGCAGGCCCACTAGCCAGGCTTCTGCACTGGGTAAACGAGGCACCACGGGTAGCCAAGGGTACCCACGACGCGCTCTGAGCAGACGTGAGCTACCTGGCTTCTCTTCTTCTGGAGACAAAGAGCACCCCAGGCACAACCCAAGCAGGAGTTACCAGGTTTGACATTTTAAGGGACGCAGAGCTCATGCCTCTAAAGGAAGCTTCCCTGTCCCTTCTTTCTAGAACATTCCCTGGCTTGTCCCATCTCCTATCCCATGAAACAGCATGAAATGGATGAGCAGAAAACAAATTCCACTGGAGCAGCAGAGGCAAACGACTGCTCTGAACAAGCATCGAACAAGGTGCAGCAGCGCACCCCTGTAATTCCAGCAGCTTGGGAGGCTGAAGAAGGATCTAGAGTTCAAAGCCAGCCTCAGTAATTTAGAATCTAGTAAGACTGTCTCTAAATAAAATATAAAAGGGCTGGGGATGTGGCTTTGTGGTTAAGCACCCCTAGGTTCAATCCCCAGTACCCAAAACAAAAACACCAAAATCATCAAAATGCGATTTTTCTTAGGAAAAAAGTAAAGGAAAAAAGGAATTTTGTCTTCTAATCTAGACTCTCCTTCTTCTGTCTTACCCAATTTTAAATATAGTCACACAGAGCATAAGATTTCAGTCACTGGGGACCACACATACGAAGATAGTTCCATAAAAGTATAACAGACTGGAAATTCCTATGACCAGTTCCCATAGTATGGTCACTTTTTTTTTCCTGAAGACAGGGTCTCACTATGTTACTCAGACTGGCCTAGAATCCGTGCCTCAGCCTGCCCAATAGATGAGACCATAGGCATGTGCCACCACATCCATCATCACATTGTCTGTGAGGACACTGGTGTAAAGAAACCTGCTGCACTGCTTGTCACAGTACAGCAAATACAGGCATGCACAGTACTTAGTACTTGTCCGTGAAAATCAGCAACATCACTGGCTGGTGTATTTACTAAACTATATTCTTAACAATTATTTTGGAGTAAATCCTTGTTATAAAAAAAAGTTTGTAGTAGAATAGAATGCATCAGCTGCAGCCTCTCATATCTCATTTACCACGTGACTGACCCAAACCATCCAGGCTTCTGATGGTAGAACAAGGACAGGATTACTACTGACACATATTTCTCAGATGGCACCGCCACTTAGTGGCACATACCTATTCTTGTTTCTGTGTTGGAAACCTTTTCTTAGAAGATGAGGAAGGAGCTGAGGACATAGCTCAGTTGGTAGAGTGCTTGCCTCACATGCACAAGGCCCTCGGTTCAATCCCTAGCACCACCAAAAAAAAAAAAAAAAAAAAAAAAAGTGAGGAAGACACAGAAACAAGGAAGCATGACTCTTGAGATACTGCCACAATTGTTCCAAAACCTCTGCAGCTGCCCACCAGGCTTGAAGGCTGAGACCCTTGCAGGCATAACAATAAGAAACCCACAATGTCCAATCAGAGCAGAAGACAGTACATCCTCACACAGAGAAGGCCAAGCAGCTCGACAGCTGGGCTGGGGCAGGTGCCACCAGAGAGCTCCCAATGAGTCATCTGGGCAGCCACCGATGAAAACAGCCCCTCTAGCACCAACTCCAGAGGAAGTTCCCCAATGGGTAGGCAAAGCCAGGAATATCCTTATGATGTTCACAAACTATAGCTTAAGAGAAATAAAATGCCATCTTTGTGATATTGAAATGCTAAACATTAGAAAATTATATAAGGAAGATACTTTCTCTAAAATCTCTAAACAAACACTTCAATGGATCAGGCCTGTGTCCTCCTTCCATGTGATAGGCCTTCTGAGCTGATCTGAACACATGCTCTGGACCCAGAGGCCAAAGGAAATGCAAAGCCTGAACAACTGCACATGGAACCCCAACCAAGGGTGCAAAAACACCAAGGGAGTATCTCGGGCTTAAGAAGGGCCACCAGATCTGCTGCAAACTCAGCCATGGGCAGCAGCCAGCAAACCTCAGTCTCCAACAACACCCATCACAGTGCTCAGGGCCTGCCCTTCACATCTTATACAAGAAGAGCACAGGAAGTGGGAACCTGTCCCAGAGGGCAAGGTAGCCTGAAACACCGCATCTCTGGGAGACCTGGCACTCAGACGGTAAGGCCCCAAACACACTTGCTCAGGTGTGCCTTTCTGTCTCTGCTCAAAGCTGGATGTTTCTTTCTAAACTTGGTGAAGGAAGGAAGGACGAACGGACAGATATCACCCAGACTGCAAAGTCCCACCATCTACTCTGAAATATTCAGATCCAAAGCAGCCCTGGCCACTACGGCCAGGAGTGCCCACATCCTTCCCCTTGCCAATGCTTTCTCCTGTCCACAGCCCTGCCCACCTGATGGGCTCTGCTGTCCCAAAACCTAAACAATGGGAACCACAGGACTGGGATGTGAAATGCCAACAGGCTCTGCCCTCACCTGGAGCAGGTAATCCTATGATGCTAGTCAGAGAAAGGAGCACTGCTAGTTTTTCCCTTTTGGAGACTGCATTTGTGTTTCACTTCAATTTTGGTTAAGCTGAAATTTTTAGGCCTCTTAAACAAAGGCTCTTGATACATTCCCATCATTTCTAACTCACAAGTAGGAATCCCAGTTAAAGTCTTTCAGATCAGGCTGACTGATCTGTAAAGACAGGCACCTTGTTTTGACAGGGGTCTTCTCTGAAGGAGAGGGACTATTAACACATTTTACTCACTTTGAACTTACGATTCTGTAATGACTATATACAGCTCTGCGCTAAGAAACCATTTGGGGAAAAGATCAGTGAAATAAAACAACATTTACAGAAATTATTTTCAAACTCTTAACTGCCAATACAAAGTTAGTCTTCGCTCCTATTAGGGTGAAACCTGTTTTCTAAGTGGAAGACTCCAGCACACCCCTAGCCCAGCCAGTGAGCTAGCTTGCTGTACACTTGCGGCACATTAATCACAGTGTACTGATAAGCATGAATAACTTCAAACCACTACAAACCTTGGGAAATAACACATAAGGCTAACAACATTCAATGTCAAAAACATTTAGTAATAAAAATATCCTGCATGTCTATTTTCCATTCATTCGCAGAAAAGTACAATTTTATTAATGCATGTGCCCCATCTGAAAACAAAGCAGTTTGCAAGACACCATAAAAACACCTGTAGGAACAGCTTTCCTCTGCACCTCACTGTCTCTAGGCATTACCAACCTGACCAGACTGTTCGGAAGCCCACACCCTACACAGAAGCTGTGTCACTTCCTCAAAGTTCTAGGAAGTGTTCACGCGGGTCCAAAAGGAACCAGGTTCACCTGGAAAAGGAGTGCTTTCTTGTCACTCACAGGCTCCAGTGTAAAACTCATCCACTCACTTACCTTATATTCGCAGGCAAAGAGCCTTTTTTTGTTTTTTGGCAGTACCAAAAGACCGGACTCTGGGCCCTCACATGCTAGGGAAGCACTCAACAACTGAGCTACAGCATCAATCCCCTCCCCCTTTTTTAAAAATATATTTGTTTTATTTGTTTATTCTTTAACGTGGTGCTGAGGATCAACCCAGGGCCTTGCACGTGCTAGGCAAGCGCTCTAACACTGAGCCACAACCCCAGCCCACCCAAATGCTTTTCTTAAATTTTATTCTATTTTGAGATAAGATCTCACTAAGTTGCCCAGGCTGGCCTTGAACTCATGATCCTACTACCTCAGCATCCTTAGTAGCTGGCATTACAGGGGTGGCCATCAGGCCCACTGGCAAAGAGCATTTTTCAAGATAAGGGAACAAACAGAGCAAGTCAGTAACAACAAGAACAGGTCAAGAAGATACAAGTTGTGAGATGGAGATAGACCAAGACATATACAGGAGGATCTGAAACAACCCCTGGGTCACATAAAAGAACAGGGCTGGGCTAGATTCCAACCACCAGGAACCAGCACTAATCAGAGAGCACTTCTATGGATCAAGCAATGTTTGCACTACTAAAGAAAACTATCTGCTGGGTGTGGAGGTGCACACTTGTAAACCCAGAGGTTCAGGAGGCTGAGGCAGGAGGATCACAAGTTCAAAGCCAGCTTTAATATTTAGTGTCACCCTAAGCAATTTAGTAAAATCATCTCAAAATTTAAAAAAACAAAAGGTCTGGAAATACGATTCAGTAGTTAAGCCCCGTGGGTTCAATTCCCCACCACCCAAACCAAAAAAAAAAAAAAAAAAAATGAAAGAAAGAAATTATCAGAAAAATGTCCTGCCACAAAACAGGACAGCGGGACGGAGAAGACCATCTCCTTCCCCACAGCTACCACTCTCGACATAAATCCATTCTAATCTCCACTTCAGGAGCTGCCTTATTGATCAGTTTCACTTTTCCAACCAATTGAGGGATGGCAGCCACCATGAGGCAGAGCTCTTGATGCAGTGAACACTAGTGTGGCCATCGTTACCATGACCGTATCTGGCTTATTCTGCAGACCAGTTAGGCATGAAGGAAACTGTAAATCCTCCACAAGTCTTTTACAATACCACTGCCCCCAAAAGGCACTTTAGCTGACTACTACAAAGTGGGAAGGCCACCTGGCAGGGCTCTCTGCAGGTGTGAACCCTCAGGTCAGGTCCCCCACTCCAGGCTTACTCTTCACCCAGCGTTCAAACGCGCTTACCTCTGTGGGGGAATATATGGGGCGCACACAGTCGGCATGACTGCACAGGGCTCAGCCAGCGCTTTCTTAGCTTTTTTTGCTTTCTTCCTGACTTTGGACGTGGACCTGACCGTTTTGACTGAGCTCTCTTTACGACAGACACCATTTTTCATTTCAACATCCCCGTAAATGTTCAGAGGCCTCCGTGTGCAACCAGGAGGCGTGTGGACGTCACAGTAAGCGGTCTTTCTGACTGAGAAGGTGGTGCTACCACCAGTCAGTTCCTTCACAGGCTCCATTTTCATATATAGGCCAGCCTTCTGGGCACATGTCACGTGGAATGCTGTGTAGCAGTTTGCTTTGTGGCACTGGATACAGGCGCCCACGCCCTTCTGCTTACAGAGGTAGCACGTCAATTTCCACCGGGCCGGAGGGATGTTCCTCACACCGTCGATGGGTTCGATGAACACCGTGTTGGCAAAGCCAACCTCTGGGATCCACAGGGCACACACCACATGGCCCCAGCGGTCGTCGTCCGTCTTTTTGAAGGCACCGCCCTTGTTGGGGCACAGCACACAGTCCGCGGGACGGGACCGGGACTGCAGGCAATGGCGGCAGAGCCACTGGCCCTCAGGGATATAGGGCACGCCATAGCACTCCTGGTGCACGGCCAGGTTGCACATATCACAGAAGAGGATCACATTGCTGTTCTGACACTCCCCATCCATGCAGATGCAGCATACAGCATCCTCGTCAATCAGGGACTGCTGCTCCCCCTGCTTCTGGTTCTCGCAGTATGACTCCTTCTCAAAGCGGTCCATCAGGAACTCAAACATGTTCTGCGACACAGCAGAGACACAATCACCCTTTCGCTTCTCGTTGATGATCTCCAGCCAGGCGTAGTCCTCCTCATCCATGTCATACTCCACCTCGTTGTCCAGCTCCTCAGCCGACTTCTCGATGAATTTGTAGTACATGGGGGGCCTCCTGGGCGCAGATGGAGGGCTGTACTCCACAATCCGAACCTTGGGCTCAGGAAGGGCACTGGCTGAGGCCGGTGTGCCATGGGTGCTAGGAAGGGCTTCATTTTTCTTTTTGACTCTGTTGTTTTTGTGACGCTTAGTTCTTAAGCAAACAGGTGGCCTCTCGCTATTTTCTTTATTGCTGTTGCATTCACTCATTTCTTGAGCAGTGAGGTCATCTTCCAATATGATCTCCAGGGGATCAAAAATACTGATCCGATGCAAGCGCCCTTCAATCTCTATCTCAACCATCCTTTGAGCTTGAGCGTACGTCAACGTTTCTCGGGTGGGAGAGTGTTTAATACTGCATGGGGAGGAAGGATGCCTCGCTGCAGAGCCTCGATGACATCGTCCTTTCCTCCTCATTTGGCAATAATTACCTGAAACAGAATCAAAGGAAAAGTTAATTCCTTGTAGAGTGACAAGAGACTGGAGAAAAGCACACAAGTATTCAGGGGCAACGCCCCCAAAATGAACTCACAGTTAACACACTTCTGAAGTTTCCAAACTCCTACTCCTAGGAGTCATGACTACACTTCAAGAGTGTCCTAGGACTGGAAATGGCAGCAGGTGGGGAGGCAGTACAGGACAGCAAGGGCCCTGATCCCCACCACTCAGCCAGTTACCTTTTTAGACCAAGCCAAAGGTAACCCAGAGAACAGCAACAAGCACTCCAGAGCGGCCCTGGATCCAGCCCACATATGCAGGAGTGTTATTCTGGTGTACAGACAACCCACTGGGAAACCCATGCACAGAGCTTGAGCCCACCAGGCTCAGAGGCTGTGGCTACAAGGTAGATATGTTCAGTGGCTACCTGGTCCTAACAAAGGCCCCCTATAAACTCCTCTCTCCACTGCTGCCCAGCAGAGTACCCCTGTGAGCCCACAGTCCTCACAGCACCTCCACTGGGAGCCAGAAGCTTCTGTTCATGTCCCAACAATGTAAGCCTGTCCATCCTCTCCACAAATACGTCCTCCACATACACACACCCAGATCAGGGCCACCAGCCACAGCAGGACCCAAAAGAACCCTATACTGGCCTGTGGGGACATCACCACCTCTGGGTGGCCCAATGCAGCTTCTGCAGACAGTGCCAGCCTGCCCCTTCCCCTCAGGGTGACTTTTCAGCCATGGCTTGACCACTATACTAGACCTTGTCTTTCTTTTTTTTCTTTCAAATAAACCCAGTTATGTACAACATGCCAAAGGGCATCTGTTCTTCCTGACACATTTGCAAGTAAGATGCTCAGCTCCTGCTCCACAGCAAGAGTGGACCCTCCCAAACCCCATACTGCCAAAAGCCCCACACTGCCTACACATACACTGAGGGTCCCCATTGCTGGCTCAGGTGGCCAAGTTTTGGCCACAGAAGTTTATCAGAATCTGCTCTTTTCAGAGGTAGGCAGAACCAGTGAGTTATCAGCCTATACCTCCACCTTGTTGTGGTGGAGACTTCTACTGTTTAAATGTCACTGACTGCATCTACTTCCAGTTTTCCCCAGTATGGCTTGATGTCTAGGCACCTCATGTGAAGACATGCCAACTCTAGGCCTCTGCCTGCCAAACAAGGCAGCACCTTAGGCAACAATGACAAGGACTGTTCAGACTCCTCCCCCCCACACACACAACCACATGTTACTAACAGGGAACAAAATGACTTTTGAGTGACTGACTCACAAGTACTTCAAGATGAAGCCTACATCAGCAAAGCCCAGCATCAGGTACCTGAGAGAGTGTGAAGTCACAGCTTCAGCGATCTAGCTGATCTTCAGGAAATCCCCTCAAAGAACAGACTTCACTTTCTAAGGCCAAAAAGCAAAATCCTGCAAATACTAAATGCACTTTTAAAGACAGACCCTTCGGGTTGCAAAAACCTGCATTTTATATAGAAATCAGATAGCAACTTCCTAGAGAGGACATCAAAGACTGATCAGTCAAATTCTAAGTCACCTGCATCTGAGGGGGCCTCCAGATGCAAATTCAAACCTGGATTCCCAAGCAGCTGCCAGCAAAGGCACCCCAGCTGGCACTGGACTCCAGCAGCAGGCCATGCCATTGCTTTTGAGGCGAGAGCTGGATGGATGCTGCATCCAGGGTCAGCCTAATGTGTCATCACTGAGGTGAGGCAGAAGCAACAGCTGGTCACTCACCAGACTAAAGAAAATGTGCAATTTTCTCCTCTACAACAAAGTACCAAGTGGCTCTAACTGCCAGCGGCCCTTCAACCCCACCCTCCACGCTCCCAGCAGCTCTGTGGTCCCAAAGTGCAACCGTGACCAGGGAAGCAGAGAAGAGCGGGCACTGGAGCACCGTCCACAGTGGCCACGACCGCATCTGCCTCGTCATTTCCCAGGCCCCCGCCTGAGCCTGGCCTGCACCCGAGCCCTGCGGGC